ACGTACAGGCTCCTGCATATGTACTGCAGCTTCTCCAGCGGTTGGAGCTAAACGGAGCGGTCTCGTGTGGGCAGACACTATCCGGATAACTATTGCGTGTGGACGGAAGCTTGTTTGCGATTGCGTTTGCGTTAATCCTATGCGTTTAGCCGTTTTCGTCCTCGTGTGGCCGGGGTCTGAGTCTACCTTTGTAGTCGGCCCTCTCAGAATGTTTATCATTTATTTGTATTTTAACATTCCTATAATAATTAGTTTTTTTATTGTTTTGTTCTTTATTTTTGTTGTGAGAATCACTTTGCAATTATTGTGTAAGTGCTATATAAATAGTTATACTAATATTATTGTTGTTACTATTATTAATAATGTCTTCTTTGTTTTCTTTATTCATCGCTGCAGAAAGGATCATGCCAGCCCACATCAAACACCTGATCAAGAGCTTGTGAACCTCACTGCTGCAGACACCTGTGTGATATTCCACTCTGACTGGAACCCTCAAAATGACCTGCAGGTACAATATATATATATTAGGGCCGGGACTTTAACGCGTTAATTAAGATTAATTAATTACACAAAAATTAACGCGTTAAAAAAATTAACGCATTTTAATCGCACTTATTTTTGCACCGCGGAACTTTTCTCACTGGATGAGTTTCAGGCGTACCGATTATACTGGAGCACCAACTAACGTTCATGACTTCAGACAACAACAAACCACAGTGAACAACAGTGGGAAATGTTGTTTTAAAAAACGGACGGATGGAAGCGTCGATAAGAGCACGGTTGTGTGCAAATTATGCAAAAAGGAATTGGCATATCACCGCAGCACATCAAGCCTCAAGTATCACCTCAATGCAAAACATATAGCAGCTAGCGTGGAAGCTAGCGTGGACGTTAGCCTCTTTTATCGCGTTCACACCAAAAAGAGCCGGTACTAAAATTAGTTCATGAGAACCTTTTTACCCCCACGAAAGTCCCTGCTAGAGAGCAGGGACTTTCGTACGGCTCTCTTGTGAGAAAAGAGCTATATTTCTGATTGGCTGGGCGGATTGCAAACCACGCCCCGTAAAACTCCCAAAAAGTTTTGTGAATTTTATTATCCTCGCATTAGCATTATTAGCATTAGCCCAGCGCAGAAACGCAGAGAGACTAACTTATGGCAACACAAAATAAAACATGGGAGCGGTGGAGATGAGGAGGTGTCGGCGTTCTGGCGATTTACTCGGAAGGCTGCTGGGACTCCCAGCAGCTTCTACTGAAGCCAGTCCCCAACTCCGGGGACTTTGGGCGGCAGTATACGCCGTGAAGTGGTTTGCGGCCTGCCAGTAAACCCAAAGCAGAAGAAGAAGAAGTGACGTCAGCGGCTTCATTTGCCTAATCCACCCCCAGGTTCAAAGAGTTCTCATGAACCTTTGTGGGAAAAGTACTGCGGTGTGAATGTGCCTAATGGTATACTAAAATCCATGTGAAAAAAATTGCTTCTCACTGTTCTCAGGTCAAATATTTATATGTGATTAAAAATGCGATTAATTTCGATTAATTAATTACAAAGCCTCTAATTAATTAGATTAATTTTTTTAATCGAGTCCCGGCCCTAATATATATATATATATATATATCTGCTCTGTCCGTCCTAAAGATGGTTCAATAAGGCTACAACAACAACAATCTTTCCGTTTATTCCCTCGGTTCTTTAAGTGTATATTATTTTCCCATTTAATGCTTAAAAACGTTGAACGGCAGCTGCACATGATGCTCTTTTGACCCCTCTTTTAATTTTTTATTTCAGGCTCAAGCTCGGTTCGTCATCGTTTTGGCCAGTCTAAGGCGGTGGAGGTGTACCATCTGATCACTAGAAACTATGAGAGGAAAATGCTGGATAAAGCTAGTCTGAAGCTCGGGCTGGACCGTCCCGTCCTGCAGAGCATGAGTGGCATCAACAACGGGGTGAGAAAAAGAAATATTTCTAGATGCCAAGTCATTTTTGGGTCAGTCGCTGTTGCAGTACGCTTAGTTTATTTTCAAAAAGAGTTTTCTAAATCCACTTGTGTAAATGTCTCTCTGCGTCGCCTTTAGCCGGTCCAGCAGTTCTCCAAGAAGGAGATCAAGGACCTGCTGAGGAAAGGAGCCTACGCCGCCATCATGGACGAGAACGACGAAGGCAATCGCTTCTGCTAGGAGGACATCGACCAGATCCTGCAGCGAAGAGCCACCATCATCACCAGGTATGTTCTTAGCAGCACTAGCCACTTGCGCTTTGTGTTAGTAACCAAGTACTTGGTTATTTGAAATGTAATATTGATGATGTAATAATTAAAACTAGGGATGGGTACCGAGCCCCAGTATTAACGGGGCCCCGGGGCTGAATTATTAAAGACCGTGGTACCGTTAACGTCCAATGTTATCAATCTTTTTATCGTTATGGGAGACATTTAAAAAATAGATGTCGCATGTATTATATCTACATAAACATTATATCGCAGTCTTACTGCAACTCCGTTTCTAATATGCAATAAGACTACAAAGTGCGTCTATGATTTATTTTCGATCTTTCCAATCCAGACGAGATCTCTCTCCCCTGTCGGTGTGTGAGGGGGTGGGGCAGTTTACACACAGAACCTGCTACATGCATGCAACACACACGCGCGTGCGCACACAAACACATGGCGGAGAGAACTAAGCGCCCCGAGGGTAGTTATGTTACCCGTCTTGAGCATGGATGTTTAATAAGAACTGGATACAGCATCGGAGGAGGGGCCTCGTTCTTTCCTATGAGAGCTGCTCATTGGCGCATGAAGTCAAAATGGCCCAACTTTTGAGAGAGCGAAACGTCACAGATTACCCGTCATGCCTGGCTGTCAGAGCAGAATAACCCGTTTGTGCGCTCACAGAGCATGCGCCCCTTAAGCCCCGCCCCTTGAGCACATACTCTCGGCTCACTAGAAAGAATGGAGAGAGAGAGAATAAATCTAGATTCGGCTTTTAGTGCATTTTACAACTTTAAGAACTTAATGATTCTAGGGCTATACAATAGTTCATACTGGGTAGTTTATTTAGTTTCAAAAAAATGATCCACCGAGTTACAGATGTCTCTTTCCCAATGTTAGTCAATGGGAAAAAGTATTTCTGGGCCGGTCGACGTCACAGACTGATAAGGAAATTGTAGTACCGCCGTTTGGACACAACGAATATTTTCCTCAGAGTCCGGCACACTTCCTGGGGGCTTGGTCTTGAGGTGGAAAATGCTCGTTGCCAATAGTGCAATAAGAATTTAGCATGTAAGGGCGGTAACACGAGCTATTTGTCTAAACATTTAGCAAAAGTGCTCCACATTCAGACGGAGGAATGCACCGGGTTCGACTGTCTTTCTAGTAGCTCTGTAGCTCCATCCACGAGTAACGTTTCCACGTCAGGTATATATTATGTATGCTAGCAGCAACACACAGAGTTAACTCAATGATACAAACATGGGTTAATGATTAGAGGTAACTGAGTTATTTATTTTGTTAAAGTTACAGCTATTCTGTTTGCAGTTCTGTCATCACATAATTGAATAAGATTTGTTAAAACATTGTTGTTTCTTATTTTCAGTTTGCTTCAAGCAGAGGCTGTACGAGAAAGATTTGGAGGACCAAGAAATGCTGGCCAGATTGGCAAAGACCGGAAGATACATAACAGAGAAGATAATGGATATTAACAAGAATAAGAAAAAAAATGTTTATAATTTCTTTGTTGCTGTTTACATTTTGAATTATATTTGTTATTTTTAAATCAAATGCATCTTTTTTAGATGATATATTTATTTAGATGTAGGTTTTTTTTGTAATATTATTGTATTAAGTATAATTTATTAAATAAAAATACTGTTATGAACACTATACAATGTCTTTATTTTGATAGTTACCAGAATACATTGTATATTTAATACTAACATAAGCTGGTGATAGATAAATGCTGGTCTGCTGGTATGCCAGCAGACAAATATTTATAAAGACAGTGTATGGCTGGGGTAGGCTACACCCATACCAAGAAATGGCTTAGCCCCACCATGAAAAATGATGTTAAAGTAAGCTAAATAAAGTCCGCCAACTCGCGCGGAGTAAATTGCACAGACAGCAGTTAGTAAGATTGATTTCAGCAGCCACTTGTCTGGAAATACGGAAGACCAGAAACGGTTTTGAAAACTTTTGTCACGTAGTGATCGTCTTCCCAATAGAACATCTTTGATAATGTCTTCTGGCCAATCAGAATCAAGATAACGGCGTGGTGTTGTTGCAGGAAGTCCCGACGGAGAATACTTTAGCTGTAGTACAGGTAACACATAACTGGTACGCAGGTTATGTGCGTAATCTGAAATGCGTACCGTCACTTGTGTCACAAAGCGCATTTGTGTACCGACGTACTTGTGAAGCTTTTCCAGAAGGCGGTTAGATCACCGGACGACAGTCGGTCTCCGTGTGCTCAGACAGGGCTGCTGTTAACGTCGGTCTGTACAACGGAATTGTGCCAAAACTACGCCAACCGGCTGCGGAGGGAGACTCCTCCCTTCACTGGAGAACTGCGCTAAAACAGCTGATCACAACGTTCACACTCTGCAGTCACGAAGTACTCCACTCCACTAGCGCGCCCCCCCCCCCCCGTCGACTTTCCTGAAGTTTCTAAGTAAGATAGAAATCAATACGTAAGGAATTAAGACCCCACAGTTTGATGATTGATAGGTGCTCTCTTTCATTTTGACACACAGATTTTTTTACAATAAACATGTTGAATGGATATATCCGCCTTCTTTCATTTATCTTTCCATTCCCACAACAATATACATAAAGAAATGACATATTTTGGACATAGTTCGAATGGTGATTAATCATGATTAATTAATTTTTAAGCTGTGATTAATCTGATTAAAATTGTAATCGTTTGACAGCCCTAATTTATTTATTTTTGGATTAGATCATAGATACGTCCATGAGTTAAGAGATGGAATGATATGATGATTCACACTCATGTACAGTAGGTGGCGGTATGCACCTTAAAGTTGTTTGCAATCCGCCAAAAAACCGAGAGAAGAAGAAGTCAACTGGTTTGCCAACGGACAATTTACACCGAAGAAGAAGAAGCGAACATTTCTGGCGGGTGAAATTTAGAGTATCAGATTACATGCGATGTCTGACTCTGAGAATTTAGTAGTTTGCCTTATAGTCCTTCTCCATTTTCTTCCTCTTCTCGAGTAGTCAGTGTGGTGCTGTTGCTTTGGTCTGGGTCTCTGGACCTGTGAGCTAACCACGCCCCGTTCATTTGCATATAAGGAATGGAAATGTCTCATCATGAAATACAAGTCACATGAAATAAGCCATTATGAAATACGAGTCTCTTGAAATAAAGAAACGCGTCATTATAAAATACAAGTCACATGAAATAAGCCATTATGAAATACAAGTAAAATGAAATAAATAAATATGTCATTATGAAATACGAGTCTCTTGAAATAAATAAATGTGTCATTATGAAATACAAGTCTCTTGAAATAAATAAATGTGTCATGAAATACAAGTCTCTTGAAATAAATAAATGTGTATTTAAATGTACATATAATATATACATATTTATTGCCTAATTTATTTATTTTATAATTTATTTCATAGGCATATTTATATATATATATGTATTTATTTAATTATTTATGTATATATTTATTTATTTAATATTGGCTTAAATGGCATTCCATAGTAGAGTGCGCTCTTGTGGACAAGGACTTTGGGACTCATATTTGCAATGGAGGTTTTCAGTGGGTTTGTTGTATTTTTGAGAACACTTCACCAGTAGATTACATAAAGACATGACAAAGGAAGACTATATAATTTCAATATTCATATTTAATATCTCTTGTGTGATGATATTATTTTCCAGAGCCATCCTCATCCCCCGCTTCAGGCACAGATACTATTTCAGTCACTTCGAAAAGCAGCAGTGAAAACAGTGGCACTCTGAAACGCTTCAGAAAAGAGGAGTCTTTGCAGGGTCCACAAGCCAAAAATGTGAGTGCATGTTCAATATGTCATGTACACCATTGTTTTACATTTTAGTGAAGTCTGTCCATCCGTGTGTCTGTACCAGTAGATTGCTCATAAACCTATACTGCTTACTTAACGGGTGTCATTTTTGTTGTGTTTTGTTTTAAGCTGATAAAACAGGTTCTGCTGACCAAACCAGGAGGAAGTGATGTGCTGAAGGAGGAAAAAGGAACAATTAGTCCTGCCACAAGAAAAGTGATGGTGAACATTCTAGTTGCAGACATGGTGCAGAGTGAGGGGTAAGATTCTAATTTGTTATAGCTTTGCATGAAAGTGTCATGTATGTATAGGCTAAGTGTGGATGAAGTTGGTGCAATTGTATTTCTACATCAATTGAGTTCATTAAGTTTATATGTTCTTAAACTGAGTCTCTTAGACTTAAATGAATGAAATGTGGAAAATGACTGTTTTTGCTCTACAGGAGAATCCCTCAGCGACTGACCAAAGAGAAGTATGCACTGGGGATTGTTACCCTGTTTCCCTCGCTCAAAGATCCACATGGGAAGACAGGATATGTGAGTTATTCTTGATTATGATCAAAGTAGACTGTTTTACAAACAACCTTTTTGGACCTCCACTGCCATAGAGGGTTATTTTTTATTTTTGTACATATACATTTTTGCTGTTGAACAATATTGAATGTTGGTTGAATTGCATATTGTGAGAATTTGTCAGTCTTAAGAGACATGGAAAGTTTATTTGTTGAGCATTTTCATGCCTTTAATGTTGTTAAGCAGGATATTCTTTCAGTCATCAAACCTGATGCACAGTTGAGGTCCAAAAAGGTTGTTTGTTGCCTGGCACGGCAGTTAACAAACAACCTTTTCGGACATCCACTGTCATAGAGGGTTATTTTTTTATTTGTTGAATTGCATATTGTGAGAATTTGTCAGTCTTAAGAGACATGCCACCATTCCAATAAAGCACTTGGCATATATGTTATCTGGAATGATTTATTGGTCATTGTAACTTTTAACACCAGTTTTGTTGTACATCATAATACCAATACACAACATTGACATTAGATTAGTGTTCATTTTGAACTCCCAGAGGCGTTGAGGCTAATGCAAAATGCAACACCAGTATAATGTGCATTCAACACTAGCTCAGTGTACATTTCTAACTCTTAAAGGTGTTATATGGGAGAAGATGTATCACTACTGTAGTGTTACTCTACACCAGGACAGTGTAACATTCAACACTATCAGTGTACATGTTTAACTCTCAAAGGTGTTAGATGGGAGAAGATGTATCACTACCAGTGTTTCCCACAGATCTGAAATATACTTGGGCGGGTGGTGGCAGCGGGCAGGGGGGGGGGGTGCGCGAAATTTTTTTTTTTTTTAACAACATGTTTATTTATTGACTTTTCATTCCTGTATAATCATTTTGCGCAAAGATGGCACTGTTTGTCAGAGCACTTTCATGAAGAACAGCTCCAACGCCTGTGTGTATGGGAACACCTCTGGTGCTGGCCCATTAACTGCCAGTGTTTTCCACAGATCTGAAATATACTTGGGGGGGGGGTGGTGGTAGCGGGGGGGGGGGGGGGGTGGGTTGAGGTGACGTGCAACAACATTAACATTAACCTTTCTGTTGGTCACTTGTTAGCAGACCCTTCACGCGATGGCAGAGCGAACAGGTACAGGCAGGGCCCATAATGATAGCCCAATAGTTTAAATCTACTACCCACACATGAACATATGGAAATGTGTTACTATTTAAAAAAAATAAATGTATTTATAAATGTATTTAGGAACCTATCCATGCGATTTTTAGTGGGGGTCGACCTCAAATCCTCTATGGGGGTCCAGGGGCATGCCCCCCCCGGTAAGATTTTATTTTTTATTTTGGAGTTAAATGCATCAATCTGGTGCATTTTGAGGGGAAAATAAAGAGACTAGATCTATGGAAACACCTATATTAAACAGAACTGTATACATTTCAATAATCATAAAATCATGGCCATAACCAATAACATACCATTTCCAATATGAAAAAAACACTGAAACTTGTTTATTAATTTATTTTTGGAATCAGCCTCTCCTGTCTCTCCCCCCTGCTCCTCTTTGAGGCCGCAGCAAAGACTAGTTTTCTCTCAACAAGTTTTAAAAGTGTATCTTACCTTTTTTCACCTAGTTAACTTTTTATTTATTTATTCATGCATATTTTACTAATCACATTACATTTCATTTAGCTGACGCTTTTATCCAAAGCGACTTATAATGACCGATTACAGGGACATTCTCCCTGGAGTAACTAAGGGCTAAGTGCCTTACTCAAGGGCACACTAGTGGTGGTGTTCCTGGCGGGATTTGAACTCACAGCCTTCCGATCTTCAGCCCACCTCACTCTCCATTAGACCAATCACTACCCTCTCAAATGGAAATATGTGTTTACATAAATGGTGACCACACCGTTTGAGACCCACTGAGAACTTAGACTAAGTTAACTATCTAAACACTCAGAGAGTCCTTTACCTCACCTGAGCTGAGGTTATCCCGAGCTTGAATGACACACAGAGACCAATCAAGGGCTTTGATTTATGATCTGTATGACAGTGGCCATGTCGGCAGGCCACATCATGTGGACAGCCAGTCACCCTGTGTGAGGCAGGCCACTTAACAGGCCAGAAGGAGGCGAGATCAGTGCAAGGGAGCGAGGGATCATTGTCCACAAGTTAATCGATCGCAGATGGCGTCGTGGTCACGGACGAATACAAAAAAAAATTATAAAAAAAGAAAATTATAAAAAAAACAAAAACCTAAATGGGTTGTGAAATATACTTGGGCGGCCGTTAATATACCTGGGCGGCCCGCCCAAGTATAGTCTATGTGTGGGAAACCCTGACTACTGTAGTGTTACTCTACACCAGGACAGTGTAACATTCAACACTATCAGTGTACATGTTTAACTCTCAAAGGTGTTAGATGGGAGAAGATGTATCACTACTGTAGTGTTACTCTACACCAGGACAGTGTAACATTCAACACTATCAGTGTACATGTTTAACTCTCAAAGGTGTTAGATGGAGAAGATGTATCACTACTGTAGTGTTACTCTACACCAGGACAGTGTAACATTCAACACTATCAGTGTACATGTTTAACTCTCAAAGGTGTTAGATGGAGAAGATGTATCACTACTGTAGTGTTACTCTACACCAGGACAGTGTTGAATTGAAGATGCAGCCAACACTGTTAGTGTTGTTATCGGCGTTGGTGTTCAGTGTTGGTGTTCACATCTTACACTCTTAGTGTTGGTATAGTAACACTGTGATAGTGTTATATTGTCAACACTTTGGAAAGTGTTAATTTAACACTTTGCTGGTGGTTTCAATATAAACTCTTTCATAGTGTTAAAATTAACTACATGGGTGTTGAATTTTTTATTTCAAATTTGCTGTCTGAGGGCAGGGGAAGACAGCTGATGGTGCAACAGCACTTAGAAAGATTGCACAGCCTAATATTTTATAGACACAAGAGGACATTTCATCAAATTTTCTCGCCTGGAAAGCCTGCCTATAGGAAAATTCCTCCCATTTTCTCCAATAGATGTCCCACCTAGAAAGCACATCATCATGTTTCCCCCGCGTGAGTTCTGTGATGTAATAGTCTTTTGAACTGTGGTGGCCCAAAAAAAGCTGCACCTCTTACTCAGGGTCAGCTCGCACACAGTTTGTGATCATTTACATCTGCACAATGTGGATTTACCTCTTGACCGATAGGACATTGGTTTTTATCTTGTTTTCAATCTGCATAAAAGTTCTCTGGGTTCAAGTGACTTAATTGAGCTGCATAACAATGAATGAATTTTCATTCATTGCATACACCGTAGTTGTGTATATGATATAAACCTTTAAAAAAAATCTATCAAATATCTCTCCTGATTTTTGGCACTTGACAATCAGGAGAGATATTTGATAGTTGGTGCTTGAGAAGACTAAACATTTATCTGCAATTGACATGAATGGAAACGAGTAATAAAGTATATTCATTACTCGTTATTCTCTACTAATAGTTAATTAAAGATTGTATAATGGCTATTTTGAAAATCCCTTTCAAGATTTCAACATTTTCAAAGGTTTATTGACATATCATATACACAACTATACATATAAAAGTCAGCCGAATTAGGCCGAATTAGTGTTGATACTGCAAGGAGACGTATTGTGTGAAGAGAAATTGAAGATGTTTAATTGTTGATATATTTATGATCCACGTCAAGTATTCAGTTTCGGCGCCATTTCTTCCAGTTTTTCCAAAGGTCTTCTCATCAGGGCTCTATAAATAAAGAACTACGGCAGATCTGTAATATTTAATGCAGCCGAACCGTATATTACAATGCCGTTATATGATGACTTTCAAAGAGAAAAGCAAGAACACTCGAAATTAAGTATTATTTTATTCTTTTTAAATGTTTTCCGGATTTCATATCATATAAACACCAAATCCCAGCATGCATTGCGGCTAAAACATCCAATCAGCAAGCTTAAACCATAGCTGAGGATCTTGGGTAATCGCTCGAAATGCCTACGTCTGTTTCCGGTTATTTTTATTTTGAAATTCAGTTCCTGACGGACGCCAAAAAAGCACGAGATTTTGAAATTAAACCAATAAATAAAAGCAAGGATAATTGTGTGTTATTGGTGAGTAAATAACACTGTGTTATTTTGAAAAGAATAACAAATTAGAAGGAAAAAAAGATTTTAAAAATACAGATTTCAGTATTCTGAGGCTCTGAGCCCCATTTATTTTCCTCACAGACGGCAACAAAAGTCCGAAATTATACGATTTAAAATAAAAGCAATAATTGTGGCTTGATATTGAGTAAGAACATGTTTTTATGAACCACACAGCTTCCGGTCTTCCACGACCTGGCCGGAGAAAAAGACGTGCTGCAGGCACGAAACACATTACCATTAGAAATACATCCATCCATCCATCCATCTTCTCCCGCTTATCCGTGGTCGGGTCGCGGGGGTAGCAGTTCCAGCAGAGAGCCCCAAACTTTCTTTTCCCTGGCGACATCAACCAGCTCTGACTGGGGGATCCCAAGGCGCTCCCAGGCCAGCGAAGAGATATAATCCCTCCACCTGGTCCTAGGTCTACCCCTTGGTCTCTTCCCAGCTGGACGTGCCTGGAACACCTCCCTAGGGAGGCGCCCAGGTGGCATCCTAACTAGGTGCCCGAACCACCTCAACTGGCTCCTTTCGACGCGAAGGAGGAGCGGCTCAACTCCGAGTCCCTCCCTGATGACCGAACTTCTCACCTTATCCCTAAGGGAGACACCAGCCACCCTGCGGAGAAAAACCCATCTCGGCCGCTTGTATCCGCGATCTCGTTCTTTCGGTCATGACCCATCCTTCATGACCATAGGTGAGGGTAGGAACGAAAATGGCCCGGTAGACAGAGAGCTTTGCCTTCTGGCTCAGCTCCCTTTTCGTCACAACGGTGCTGTAAAGCGACTGCAGTACCACTCCCGCTGCTCCGATTCTCCGGCCCATCTCACGCTCCATTGTTCTCTCACTCGAGAACAAGACCCCGAGATACTTGAACTCCTTCACTTGGGGTAAGGACTCATTCCCTACTTGAAGTGGACAGTCCATCAGTTTCCTGCTGAGAACCATGGCCTCAGATTTGGAGGTGCTGATCCTCATCCCAGCCGCTTCACACTCGGTTGCGAACCGATCCAGTGATTGCTGAAGGTCGCAGACCGATGAAGCCATTAGAACCACATCATCTGCAAAAAGCAGTGGTGCAATCCTTAGTCCACCGAACTGCAGACCCCCTCCCCCATGACTACGCCTCGAAATCCGATCCATGTATATTACAAACAGGATTGGTGACAAAGCGCAGCCCTGGCGGAGGCCAACCCTCACCGGAAATGGGTCCGACTTACTGCCGAGGACCCGGACACAGCTCTCGCTTTGGGAGTACAGAGATTGGATGGCCCTGAGTAGAGACCCCCTCACCCCATACTCCCGCAGCACCTCCCACAGTAACTCCCTGGGAACTCGGTCATACGCCTTCTCCAAGTCTACAAAACACATGTAGACCGGATAAGCGTACTCCCAGGCCCCCTCCAGGATCCTTGCAAGAGTAAAAAGCTGATCCGTCGTTCCACGACCAGGACGGAATCCGCATTGTTCCTCCTCAATCTGAGGTTCGACAATCGGCCTGACCCTCCTTTCGAGTACCTTAGAGTAAACTTTCCTGGGGAGGCTGAGTAGTGTGATGCCTCTGTAATTGGCACACACCCTCTGATCCCCCTTTTTAAAAAGGGGAACCACCACCCCGGTCTGCCACTCCTTCGGTACTGTTTCCGACTTCCACGCAACGTTGATGAGACGTGTCAACCATGACAGTCCCTCAACACCCAGAGCCTTCAGCATTTCCGGGCGGATCTCATCCACCCCCGGGGCTTTGCCACTGTGGAGTTGTTTGACGACCTCAGTGACCTCCCCCCTGGAGATTGGTGTTGATCCCCCGTCATACTCCAGCTCTGCCTCTAACATAGAGGGCGGAGTTGTCAGGTTCAGGAGTTCCTCAAAGTGTTCCTTCCAATGCCCTAACACTCCATCAGTTGAGGTCAACAACGTCCCATCCTTACTGTACACAGCTTGGATGGTTCCCTGCTTCCCCCTCCTTGAGTTGTCGGACAGTTTTCCAGAACAACTTTGGTGCCGCCCGAAAGTCCTTCTCCATGTCTTCTCCGAACTTCTCCCACACCCGCTGCTTTGCCTCGGCCACGGATGAGGCTGCTGCCCTTCGGGCCTGTCGGTACCTTGCAACTGCCTCGGGAGTCCCCCGGGATAACAAATCCCTGAAGGCCTCCTTCTTCAGTCGGACGGCTTCCCTGACCACCGGTGTCCACCAGGAGGTTCGAGGGTTACCGCCCCTTGAGGCACCTGGGATCTTGAGACCACAGCTCCCCGCCGCGGCTTCGGCAATAGAGGCTTTGAACACCGACCACTCTGGTTCAATGTCCCCAACCTCCACAGGAATGCCCGAAAAGCTCCGCCGGAGGTGTGAGTTGAAGGCCTCCTGAACTTGGGCCTCCTCCAGACGTTCCCAGTTCACCCGAACTACACGTTTGGGCTTACCAGGTCTATCCAGAGGCTTCCCCCGCCACTCGACCCAACTCACCACCAGATGGTGATCAGTTGAGAACTCCGCCCCTCTCTTTACCCGAGTGTCCAAAACATACGGCCTCAGGTCCGATGATACGATAACGAAATCGATCATGGACCTTCTGCCTAGGGTGCTCTGGTACCACGTACACTTATGAGCATCCTTATGTTCGAACATGGTGTTTGTTATGGCAATGTGAGTATCCCCACACCCGCCCGGCGCCTCACACCTTGAGCAACTCCGGAGAAGAATAGAGTCCAACCCCTATCCAGAAGTAAGGTTCCAGAGCCGACGCTGTGCGTAGAGGTGAGCCCAACCAGATCCAACTGGTAACGCTCCACCTCCCGCACAAGCTCCGGCTCCTTCCCCCCCAGAGAGGTGACGTGCCACGTCCCCAAAGCCAGCTTCTGTCGCCCGGGTCTGGTCCGTCGAGACCCTCCGCTTTCACTGCCACCCTTCTGGCAGCGCACCCGACCCCATCGATGTTTCCCGTAGGTGGTGGGCCCGCGGGACGGAGAAGCGGAGGTGTTGCCCACGTTGCCTTTTCTGGCTGGGCCCGGCCGGGCTCCGTGGCAAGCCCGGCCACCAGACGCTCGCCGACGAGTCCTCCTTCTGGGCCTGGCTCCAGAAGGGGACCCCGGGCTTCCTCCGGGCCGGGTATCCTCACTTCTTGTGTCGTCTTTCATGAGGTCTTTTGAACCAATCTTAGTCTGGCCCCTTGCCTGAGACCAATTTGCCATGGGAGACCCTACCAGGAACACAAGGTTCCAGACAACACAGCCCCCAGGTTCATCAGGGCACACAAACCTCTCTACCACGGTAAGGTGCTGGTTCTTCAGAGAGGCATTAGAAATACATTGCTTTTAAAATCGTGCTGTGCAACACGAAAAAAAAGGGGGAAATCGTGTTGGTGAACACGAATCAATAGATTAAAAATCGTGTTGGTGAACACGAAATGCCATGAGACTGGGTTGTGTTGTCTTATTTCAAATTGACAACAACAGTACAATAACAGTACAATATAGAACTACCTTTGATTTTGTGTGTGTTAATATAATGGAGTGAATTTAGGTAACTGAGTATTTGGATAGTGTTGAACAGTATGTACACATATTATCTTATCTGTCTGTCTTTGAGGGTCCATTGAACCATGTCACGTGATTTCTCCATGCGGGCTTTTATATAGTATAAAAGACCTGTTTTTATGTGACTGAAGTGTCAGTCCAGGGTACCCTCTCCCAGATCCTTAGTCATGCTGCGTCCCGCTATCCTCGGACTCCTCCTGGCATGTGCTGTGTCTCTTAGCAGCTCTGCCGTAATTCTAGAGAATGGCATGCCCGTCCTTTGGGTCCACACGGCTGGCCAGTTGTCCGACCTGCCGGTACAGAATGACATCCTGAATCCCGACCCATGGCACTTCCTTCACCGTATGAGTCTTTACCGACTGATGATAGCTGCCACAGACCCGTTTATGGGATCCATGGGGACAAATGCCACAGACAGTCCAATCTGGGGACTTCCACTGCAACTTGGATGGATGCTAACCTCAGGTAAGAAAACAAATATTTTTTGGGGAGGAAAATACTTACTTGTTTGTTTCCTTCTCCAAGGGGAAAGTGGATAGCGAATCTTTTCACCAATATAATGAATAAATAACCTACTGTAATTCCTAAGACAAAGTCCTATAATGAGCAAACATAACAACAGATTGCCACCAGCTGCCACCATCGACACACACACTGATGGCCGTATGTACAATTTGTATCTGCAGGGCGTCTTGCTGACCCAACCGGTGTTTCAACCTGCGGCCTGCAAACAGGAGATACTATGTGCATTTCTACTGAGAGCTGGTGGAGCTGTAAGTTTGACAAACACGGACCTACTATACATACACATGTGTACGTACATACACATAGAAAACATAAACCAAGCCACTCCTTTTTCATCCAGGTGTTAACTACTTTGTCTCTGCACTGCCCTTCCTGTCTGCCGCACAGCAGGGCTTCATGGGAGACGGACTTCAGGTAAATTCACCCTAAAACATGCCAGTGATAGTTGTTGAGATATTTCAGTCTGTATCATCAAAGCAATCCTAAGAGGGCTAGCATGGCTAAAAGAAGACAATAAAAGCAGCATTCATGAATTTCCTGAATAGTAGTAACTGCTAATAGTTGGGATATTTTGATCATGATGAATATGATTGTAATGATAACTTATTTTGATACTATTAGGTCCAGATGCAGGTACCTGAAGGTGTACTGGACTATTGCACCACATATGCTGATTGTTTGAGTCGCTACCCTGACGCCATGGGTAAATGGGATGCCTTTTTCCAGGTACGTGAGTTACAAACACAAACAAATCCACATAAACATCTTCATGAAGCGATGCACAGTGAACACTGTTTCATTTAGATTAATAAGAGCCTGTCTTCAGCAACCCATTGGAGTATCTCCCTAATGTTGTCTGTGTGTGTTTAAAGGGTCTCAAGGCTGCAACTGACTCCCCTCTCCCTGAAAATGAGAAGAAAGACTCCCTCCTCGGCCTCTACTGGGAAGCACAAATGGCTTCAACTTATGCCTCTGCTGCATGCAATGCCAGGTAATAGTTTGACATTTTTGGATATCACACGCTTTTCTCAATACTTTCTTAAAGACTGGCTGCAGTGGGGATGCAGCTAGCTGGGCTTTGTTTAAAGCTACAAAAAATTACCAGCAGCTCTAAAGCTCAATCATTACTCTTACGCTTTAGTCTTGTTTAATCCATGAAAGATAAAAACACAGAATTCAATCAATCACATTTCACATAAAATGGCAGACAATGAGTGACTTTCAAAACAGTCCAGCTGTTCCTCTCTGTTCTTAAACTTTACACTAAACAAAGCTAAGCTTGATCTAGCAACAGTATGTCAGAAAGTTATTAGAGAGAATTTTTCTTAACTTGTGGCAACAAAGCCAATAAGCTGTCTGTTGTCTCCTCTACTCCAGACAGAGCCACTTCTCCGCTGTAGAGTTGGCGTTTGCTAAGAACTGGCTAAACTTAGCCGAATACGTTTCTGCAGCACATTTCCAATCCAACTTGGCAAACTCTGCAATGTTCATAACCCCTCTTCCAAGTCGTATTTTAAAGGTACGTCACTACAACTGCAGCCAACCCTTAAATATATATACAGTTTAAATTCCTCTTCATTTACCCAATTCCTGTTTTTTGTCAAATGTATGCAACTAGGAGCATGACCAAGCGCCTAACATAGCCGATCTGAGTACGGAGGAAAACCATTCACTTTCTACCTTCTCCTGGATGTCCACAGCCAACACTCTACTGGGTAGGACACACATTATATTACATTATAATGTAGCCTTCTTTATTGCATGCGTGAGTTCCTAAGAATGACCATGATCATGTAATCTACCAGGTGGGAGAATGGTGACTATGTGGAGAGCTGCCATGTGTTCAGTGACCACAAGAGAAAAAGGCAGAGAGATGCTCGGGCAGCTCTTACTGGATCCCACATTCGCTACAACCACTTTCCTTTCAATATTCACAGGAATGGCTACGAGCTGCTAAGATACAGAGAGAAATCAACTCGAATGAATAAGTCATAATCACTTTTTCCATCTGAAAGTTAAAGAATCTGTTTTGATTTGTTATATTTTTGTTCTTGTGAATATGTGTTCCACAATAAAGCCTCATGATGCATTGGTATAATAAATAAACTAGTGTGCAGTTGTATTACATGAATTCATTTGTTACAATTTAAAAATCAGTGTTAATCCAATTAAGAGGATTAGGGCCACATGAGAACAAAAAAAAAAACGTTTTCTTTATGTAACATCCCAACATTTATTTCTCATGTGGCTTATTTACATATATCATTTGGACAGAAACCATCAAGAGCTCTATTCTCTACCAATGGCGCCTCCTTGTGGTAATTTGATGTAAGTTCTAACCTAACGTGGAGTGTCAATGGGCAAAGTACAAAACCATGTAAAGTTCCCACTATTTGATGACATACATATTAGAAATAACACCTATAATATTATAATATACAATTCTTTGCTAAAATCTGACACAATCTGTTTGTTGTCTGCAAATGAAATTCACATGATTGTAACCGATTATTAAGTTATTTTGTATTCCTGGAGAAAACATCCACACATTGTGCTAAAAGGCAAACAGAGAGGCCATATCTTTGGGGAGAATGATGTCTGACTCTTTTAGATTATATTCGATTCATATCAGATGCAGCCTGAAAGCCTATTTTCAATTTGGATACACAACATTTCAGTTTCCTGGAAATTGATTATTGAACGGGAACAGAAACACTGCAAATAGTATTTCTGTGAATATAAGATAAGTGGAATCCAATAGATAACATTAAAAATAAACAGGGTTAATGAAAAAGTATTTATTTCAACACAAAACATGACATTTACTTTAACAAAATACAACACAAATGTTGAATCACGGTAGGTGATGACATCACAAAAAATGACATCTAAGACATTTTTAAAAGGAAGACACAAAGGGTCATTATACCACCATGGAGGAGCACAATAAAAAACCCTCTGCATATTATTAACATCATGTACTGTATCTATTCTAGCCCATGATTGTCTGTGGAAAAGCAATATCAAATACAAAAACTCACAATAAAAAAAAAACACAAATGCAGATTGTGATATCATATGAAGGTCTGCACACTGTCTGTACTTTAAGGGCTTTATCTGTTAATTTGGAGCTTATTCTTGGTGGTTCCTCTTTTTTTTTAAAATGATTATTAGATTAGTGCTACTTAAACTAGTTCAGTACAAAAAACATAAATTAAATTGATGTGGCATCGAAGATACGTGACCAATTTAACATATCAACTCTTACTCACTTGGTAATACTAATCCAAAATGTCTAAAATTACATTACAGTCGTACTGTAACTGCATAAAAACTTTAATAAATTCTTATATAACCTGTTTAACTTCCAGGGCTCACTAGTAAATACTCTGTCCTAAGGACATGTATATGATTCACCACACTGTCTGTTCACAAGTCATGAATCAAGGTTTGATAATACACACACAGCCCTGGTTGATTTGAGGCAGTGGTTCCCAAACGGTGAGGTGGGGCCCTCTGGAGGGGCACTGCAGGGGGTACACATTTAATGTAGAGATAGAAAACCAAAAGGTAAATAATTGTCTTTACAGCAAATTATTTTGAAATGACAAACAAAGGTGCAACAGTTTTATTGGCTGTTCACTAAACTCCTCCCCCCAAAAGCAATTGTCCAATCACGGTTAAGCAACTGTTACTGGGTACCTGTAAGGACCATATTGAGTATGTACAAAAATACATGACTCATATGTTTAGGACTATATTAAACTGTTAATATGTACTTCCAAGATAAACTCAAATTGTCCTACAACCTGTAATCAGAAAAACAAATGCTCATTGTTTTGCGATTAGAAAGAAGCTTGACAGACCGGAAGTAATATTATGCTAATAGAATAGAAAGTTACTCAGGGAGGCGGGGCTTAGTGAAAAGTCAATTGTTTTGCTGTAAAAATAGCTATAGAGTGGCGAAGTCACGCCCATCTACTTACGCCCCATGAGACCTTATTTCTGAAAAATTATGCATTGAAGTCAATGGAAAGAGAAAGATTATCTTTCGATCCCGTTTGAATTGTGCCACGAATTACACATATGATGTTTGTCAATCTTAAAAAATAATTTCCATGTCAAAAAAGTCACAGTTTGCCGTAAAACTGTTGAAATATAAGACTATGAAAAATACGCAACTAGAAAGACTACAAATCCCAGAATCCCGGTCCCGCATGCTGGCTCTTACGGAACCGACTAACTCCCCTTTTGTGTATGTACAGCTCTCAACATGCCCAGACTTGGAGTGATTTTCACCTCTTTTAATACTTTTCACCTCATTCTGAAAGAAATAAGTGAAATGTGCCAACGTGACGGCGTGTGTGTGTGGTGCGAGACGGGAGAGGTAGTTCATTGAGCGTTTCACACAAACAAATGTGTTACTTCACAGTTTTACGACACATTATTTATTTTTTTACTTGCAAAGTTATCTTTTAAATTGACAAACATCATATGTGTAATTCGTGGCACAATTCAAACGGGATCGAAAGATAATCTTTCTCTCTCCATTGACTTCAATACATACTTTTTTCGAAATAAGGTCCCATGGAGGTCCACCGGAAGGGGAGGGACTTCCCCACTCTATTAGTTCGTCCTGTGCTTTTCTAAACCAACTGCTGTGGAGAAAAAAAAACTATGAATGAGATTGATTCATTTGGGGGGGAAAATAAATAGCAGTGCTCTGATGCTTTCAAGATTCAGCAACCCAGGTGTATGGAGCAGGTGACAAAGTGTACAGTACCTAAAACATGAATAGACTCGACAGAAATAAATGAATACCTAGTGAGGCTCTGTCAGTCAAATCCAAAATATAAAAAACGTAATCTTAAATTCCCTGTTAATACAGTAGTAGTTGTAGAGTGTAAAGACTTTTTGGAAGGAATTGTATTTATATGTATATTTGAACACCAGTATATAATGGGAACATCTGAGAATATGACGTTTGTGTTGATATGAATAATATTTTTATATATTTCAGGCTCCTCTTTTTGTTACTTTGCCGGTATTGTTACCAGTTGATTTAAAATACATGAATTGATGTGTTTTGGTTAAGGGGCCGATGTTTTTATGCTGGCTTCCACAAAGGGGAGATTACATGAAAGGCTTGGGAACCACTGATTTACAGTAACAATGATCTATTTGACAGTAACATTGGACCATTAAAATGAAAAATAAATAATAACATTCCATGCAAAGAAATGCTATAATTTTTGTAAAGTGTCAAATTTAGCACCAGTGTATCCTAGTAACGGCGAGGATACAATAAGCAGACGTGGATTAGAAATGTCACCACGCTCCAACAGGAATGATAGCAGAGGCTGTTTTATCGCCCTGTTTCCTCCCAGCGCAGGACATACATTTAACAAAGCTTGACAAAAACCTGTGAAAGATGGCATAGCTAACATTGAGTCTGTCCAGATATGAAACGGCAAAGTCTAAACACAGGAGAGGAGTAGAGCTGGGAGGAAGAAGTTAAACAAACATCAGTCAAACTCACTGTAGAGCTTGAGTAGAAAGGGAAGCAAGTGAAAACAGCTTGAATCAGAAAAGCCTGCAACAAATCTTCAGAATACAATTTAAATCAGGAGTGAAAACATCCGAGGTTGGTTTAAAATGAGTATTTGTACTGCACAGTATTGGCCGTTATCAATCTTGCTTTGGCTTCTTGCCGTCTGCTGAGTGGTGAGGTAGAGAAATAACCTACAACGGCAAACCTGCAGCTAGCTGATGGTCGAGGTTGCATGTTGATGCCGTTTTTTGAGTGTTGCTCGGCTACATGAGAGGTCAAAGGTCTTCGCGCCTCAGACAGGAAACTGCTCTGAGCCGGCTAATGCACTGGAGTGTGTTTTTTTTAATTATATCTGAGAGAAGTGTTTGCTAAAGTGTGGTTTTGTCAAACAGTTAATGTATAGGTACAAATATATATAAATTGTGTGTGTAAGTGTGATTTGAAGAGAATGTTCATGGAAGTTATGCTTCTCCATAGGCGGAGGCCTTGTCTTTTAAAAGGTCCAGACATACGTGACAGCTCCAGCTCCCTGTGAAGAGACAGAAGAAAGAGGGTCAATCTTTGTACCACTTGCTCTTTTTCCATTTATAGCCTTTGCTTGTAGCCTCCTTCATATATACAGTGCATGACATATATAGTATCAACACGCTGATGTATAATAAAAACTCTGAGAGCCGCACCTTCTGGAGGCTTGGTCATTGGGGGCTTCAGGCAGTACATGTGGTATCCTCTGTCACAGTCATCGCAGAACAGCAGCTGGTCCTGCAAAAGAAGACATATCATCAACTTAACTATATATATTACCTATAGCATATGTCCAGGCACTACAGGGGGCAGAATATTAAACATTGAACCTGCTTGTAAAGGTCATTCATGTCGGAGTAATAAATCATACCTCTATATATGTGACACGGATAATGTTTTAGCACTTATGAGCTCTATATAAGGTTAGGCAAGTAGTTCTGTGAGCTTACAAAAAAACATGGGACAGTTAATTAAGCTCCATCGAGGCTTAGCCTTCTGATTTATGCCCAAACTTCTACATCTGTCAAAGAAATGTGTAAATAACATGCAGCCTTATAAAACACACCTGTGTTGCAATGCTTGCTATGTTGAGTATTTAACTAATTAAGCAAATAGATATCGCCATTACACTTCTAACCCTTAAGACATTTAGAAGAAATCTACACAAACAGAAACATTGTAGACATTTTTTCTAGAGCTGCTGGTAGTTCTTTTTCACAAATTTGAAAGAAGGCATGTTATGGAAGCAAAATAGCCAAAGATATTTTGACCAGTGCATGAAAAACACAATTGTTATACCTTTCTAGTGTTAACATTACTATTGCTTTTTATGTTTACTATTTTTTTACGTCTTTCTGAATTGGAATTATACTAAACTGTGCTACAGCACTCAAATAAACATACTGAATTTGGCTATCGAATGAATTTATGATCAGATTTTTCACTCTTATAAAACCTATGAGACAAAAGTAAAACCCACATCAAGGGTGAGCTATCATCTATAATATCTGATTGGCTTTGACAGGCTGTAGAAAGGTCACAACACTAAAAGGAAAACATGTCAAATGTGGTGCTCTTCAAAGCAAATTCAGAGGGGAATCTAGCCACAGAGGGATATATAAGACTTCGACAGTTTACATACATCGTTCTCTGATGTGCCGCAGAGGCTGCAGGACTTGCACTCTATGCACTGCCACTGGTACGTCCTCACCGCCTGCATCATGTTGTCGGTGAACTGCAGACATGTGGGGTGACCTGCGGAGGGACGAGAGAAGAGTGAAGAAAGAAGGAAGCAAGGGTTGACAAGAGAAGATACATCCATATCCAACATATGATTCAATTGACCTGCAACTCTATCTGATTGCCCTTTGTGGAGTATCCATCATGAAAAATAAAGGATAAACACACTTTCTTTAAATGTTGGTATGCTTTCCAAATGCTTTAAATAAAAAATACAAGCATCTAATGTGAACGAAACAAACAACTTTTGGTGAAGTGGTTGAAAAGTCATAACAACCATGTTATCCCTCATAAAGAAGACTGCTTTGTTTTAATAAGAGCCAGTAGTAAGTGTTAATTGTCTGTAATTGCACCCCATACAGTGTTGAGAGTCTGTGCAGCTGCATGAAAGGTAGAAATAGAAAGCCACACAAGGCAGGTGATTATATGTCTGGAAACAAAACACAAGCCGTGATGTGTGGAGGGGAAAACACAGCCAAGATGTATTTTATCCTCCTCCTCTAAATCCACGTCAGTAACAACATAAAAAGAAGGATGCATGGTATATTTCAAATCCTCTCCTTGTTCACAGTCCTAATCCTGAAGTATTACAGTTTATGCCAGTTTTTTTTTATAGCATCCACACGTTTTCACAGTGCTGTAAGCCTCTCTTGGTATCTGTGGTATCAATGGGGTATCAATGAGCCATAATCACGATGAACTGGTTTATATCTGGTCTGGGAAAGCAGCCAGAAACATTGTGCAGCCTGTGATGGGTGAATAAAGAGAAACTGAGTGAAATTTAAAGAAACGGTATAAGCTGCCGTCTGCTTCCCCAAAATAAACTGAGGAATTACTGTCGGAGGGAAATTAGCTGTGGCAGTTTAAAAGATGGACTATCAGCTTAAATGGATAGCAGCAGGCAGAAGAAAAAAACCATTCAACGAAGCGCCAAAAGAAAAGAGTTTGTCCGTGCCGATTGGCTCTTACCTCTCTTAACTACCTGTTCTCTTTACAATAGGGAGTGACTCATTTTTTTTATATACTTTATTAATCCCTGTGGGGAAATTGTTTCTCTGCATTTGACCCATCCTAGTGTTAGGAGCAGTGGGCTGCCATTTTGAACGGCGCCCGGGGAGCAGTGTAGGGAACAGTGCCTTGCTCAGGGACACCTCGGTAGCACTTGGTCTTGCCGGGACTTGAACTGGTGAGTTGCCAAGCCAAGTCCCTAATGACTTCGCCACCACCGCCCTCAGGAGTCGTTGTTCATCCCACCATAGCCACATTAACGGCCACTTCATTAGGATGTAGCCGTGAAGTTTAGTCTATGATCTTGATTATTTTGCGCAAGTAATTTCAAGTGTAAGAGGATAATTGTTGGTTTTATAAAAATGGGCAGTGAGCAGTGAAATCCTTATGAGCATGTATCCATTAGGCAACATTTCCATGAAAAAATGCCTTAAGATTTGAAGGAATACACGTCCTAGGTCTTCAAAAAGTTCAAAAGAAATCTTCGGCGAGTAGTCCAGTCTTCTCTCAATGAAAACTTGATGTGTTGGACTGCCATCCATGTAGCAAGGAAGTCGTGTCATTAGCTGTCAGTCACAGGATCATCATCATCTGAAAACAATATGTCTTCTACCTCGGCATCTTCAAAGCCATGAAACGCGGAGGCCTCGCTGTCGGACGCGCTGCCGAACATTTCCTCTAGAGCACGTTTCTTCCTCCCATCCTTCTTCACTCCTCCTCTTCTTCCAGCTACCATGAAAACATCAGCGTCAGAGCAACACAGACAAGGCCACACACTCTTGCAGCTGTCCTAACAAAAGATTATGGTAGCAATAAAATAGCTCACATCTTGTTGAATTTAATGCGCTTATACTGTGGGTGAGCTGATTCGAGAAATGTTTTTGATGAGATATCCAGCACTTTGGCTAGAGTGGAGGAGAGAAAAAAGAAAACAAAGAAACAAAAATGCAGCCAATTGTGCTGTAAGGTGATGCGTGAGCAACAAAGGAGTGAATGCATGTCGTCAAAAGGCAGAACTCCTTACTGATGGGCGAGGCAGACATGGAGAGGCATGCAGGGTGGAAGCAAGAAGAGGAGCCTAGGAATCAATATATTTTTCTGGAGGGAATTTGGAAAGAGTCCTAGCAGCTGGCTCTCACTTTTCATGGTCTACGCGGCTCATTGACAACCCGTTGAAAAGACACTGTGGCAACATAAAAGCTCAATTCACTGAAAAGCATAGATACATCAGATCTACAACATCAGGTTAAGACACACGTTGGTTAAAGATGAATTAAAAATGTTTGACTAAAAATGAATGTGTAAACATGAATGTCAGCTTTCTAATAAGGTATAGTTCATTGGTGTCGTTTCCAAAATATATTTAAAAAAATGAATTGTGTCATTCTTTATCTTAACAATTTAGGCAGTGCCGTTTTAACCAATGAAACAAAAATAAACATTGATAGGAAGAGAAGAACAGACATGAACAAGATTGTGGATAAAAGGAAGTAAAGTGAAAAAATGAAGTGTGTAGTAGACACAAATTAAAGTATGAGACTAGCAAACAATTCGTATCTGAAAATCTCAATTATTTCCCAAAGGTAGAGCTGAGATATTTGGGTAAATGTGATTATTCATTGTCCTGCTGAGAGTGAGATGATAAGATCAGAACTATTCTCATACCTGTCCAGTCCAGCCAGGAGATGGTTAGCTTAGCTTAGCATAGCATAAAGACTGGAAGCAGTGGGAAACAGCTAGCCTATGTATCTCTGTCCAAAAGTAGCTGTCAACCACACCTAAAGCTTACTAAGGTAACAAGTTATATCTTGTTAGATAAATCCATACAAAAACCTCACAAAGACAACAAGCCTCCAGGAAATAGTCCAGTACTTAAAAAACACAATTTCCCAATTCATGTTTTGTAAGGACTACACAAACAAGATAAGACGTGTTAAAAGTGACACGTAGAAGTGTTATTAGGCGGACTTTGTTACCTTTGGACATGCTAGCTGCTCCGAAAATGCCAAACTATTAACTTTGTTGTATTATTAACAGTATTTTCCTTGCTGTCCTATTGAAATCACACCTATGACATTGTTTAAAATCAAATAATTTGATTGGCAGGAAATCTAGTTTTGGTCTAAATGTAAACAAAGTCCATGAAGCTTTGATGGAAACCCTTGTGTTGAGGATGTTGAGACTCACCGGAGCGTCCACAGTCAGAGCAGGACACCAGCTCCTCGGCCTGGCCCGTCTTCCTGTTGGAGTCCTGGTCGCCCAGGCAGAAGTCACAGTAGTCGTTGGGGATGATGCTGCCGTCTGCAGCCTTCTGAGCTGCAGGCAGGAACAGACACAGGTAAGTTGAAAGAGATGACATTCCTTTTCTGGCCACCTGGCTTATCATAAATGTAATATCAAATGAGTCAGCAGCTTACGTTTGTGGTTGTCCGGGCAGTATGGAGGAGACGGGGTCATCTCTGATTCCTTCTCCTCCTCGCCCTCCTCCTCTGCCAGGTGAGTGTGGGTGTAGTGGTAGCTCAGGCCGGGCCGGTTCTTGTAGCGCTTTCCACAGACTACAGATAAAACATTGCAGGTCCATTAGGAACACGACAAATATTGTGCAACGTACTGTAGTGCAGCTACTATAGTGAATGAAGGGTCTGCTAAAAATCAAATATCATCAACGATGTATTTGGAATATGCTGTAACAAATAACTTTCACTCAATGGTATTCATGTGAGATGGTTTGCACTCTCGTTTACATAGGATTTAGGTGAATACAAATGGGATGTATCTATTAGTTGTTGAGAGAATATATTATTACTGCAGTGACAGAGAGCGAGGAATCATCTGCTACATATTTAATGCCAAAATAATGTTTTTATATGATAAATAATAAATAAATAAAGCAAGATTAAGGGAGGACAAAACATTAACATCAAATCAGGCATTTAACTAAAATGAAAATTCAAGGACAAATCGATAAGTAATTCCAAAGGAGGTCTAGTGACTAATGGATGTGAGGACAGGAAACAATGGATGTATCTAGTCTAAAAATATATATTTTATTGCGAGCAAACCAACAAAAGGTTTGAGCTTTACAGGAAACGTTTTTTTCTACGGTTGCCATGTTGTAAAACTTTGGAAGCATTTTATGTGCTACTGATATAAAAACAGGGATCTACAGTCTAATATTTTAGTAGCTCTAGGGGTCATTGTAAAACGTAATAAACACAGTAGAGATGTAGCCATCATAGAAGTTAATTTTCAAACGGTTTCTGCTGCTTATGTTGCTTCACCCAATTCTGCAGCAATTTCTACCTACTGTACCCGAAATCTACATCTAATCTTTGGGTTGAAAACTGACTTTATGAAACATGTTAAACCCCCAGTGTAAACACTTCTACAATGGCTACATTTGCAGATCACAATCACAGCTAGTGCGGCCTTAAAAACATGCATCCCTCAGTTAGACATTAGTAGAGCTGCCTTTTAAAGCATCAAATTGTGCATGCCTTGCAATGAGCAAGCATTAAGGCACGAGGCAAAGCGTTAATGTCATGCAATGCTTGCACTGAGTTCAGGACTAGCATGAAGCATTGAAAGCGTTAGATATCTCAGAGGGATTCACATTCAGTTAGCCATTCCCACACCAGATGCCCATGAGCAAAAAAAAGAAAAAAGACAGGAGTCCCTAGAAAGACAAGATGGCGACAGGTTCAGATACCTTCTTCAGCCTTTTTTGAGTTATGCTTTTGTTTGTATCTATCTGGAACAGAGAAGACAAAAGCAAACAATAAAGGAAAGACAGAACAAGACACAAAATGAGGATGAGATTCATTTGTTCGAGGCTCAGTCAACGGTCTGGATTAACAGCAAACTCGTTCTTCATGCTGCAGAGGACAGCTCTTATAGGACACAAGGAGAGGGGGATATCATTGAAGGATGAGAGAAAATTCATTGTCTGAAGGATCTTTTCTGAACATATAAGCTAAGAATTTAAGCAGGCATGTAGAGAAAGGTTTCCTGATATAAAACATCTTAAAGGAGTTATCGTCAGTCCTAGAACATGTTTTTCTCTTTCTATGAGCTTAAGGAGACAATGTGATTCTGATTTTGGGTAAACTAACACGTAAAGCACCATACAATGTTATGAAGAATTTTGTTTCCTTTTCTCTTACTGTCACAGACGTAAGGTTTGTCCTGGTCTTCAAGGTTAGCGGCTTCTGTCCTCCTGCGACTGGATCCTCTGTTCTGAAAGGAAATACGTCACATGTGATAATTACATAGAGCATACTGTATTTCAACGTCATTAAAAACACAAAATATGTTTTTATTGTATTTGGAGGAGCAGTTTTTTATGTTGGAAAGGTGCTGTAGATATAGTCAAATAGTGTAGAAAGAGCCCTTTTTTCTTTTAATAGAGCTTGAGTTGATGAATTGTTGATGAACTAACCCTCTTTTACAGCTCACACAAATGCATGCTGACTCACTTTGCCTCTGTTTCTGTTCTTCCTCTTTGGAGTATCCAGTTCAAAGTCATCTTCATCACCGAGACCGTCTCCATTTTCCTCTGCCTCCAGAACTCTCTACAGATTAAACACACACACACACACACACACACACACACACACACACACACACACACACAACACACACACACACACACACACACACACACACACACACACACACACACACACACACACACACACACACACACACACACACACACACACACACACACACACACACACACACACACACACACACACACACACACACACACACACACACACACACACACACACACACACACACACACACACAGTAAAGGGGGTATTTGAAAGTAAATCATATTTGTGAAATGTTTGAAAAGGTGTAAAATAAGGAGATATGGGTAATTATTTTCACAATAATAAAATACCTGTATTTCCAGCATCGTCTCCTCCTCCTTACAGATGTTGTTTTTTTTTTCAATCTGGCTGTCCCCCCTCAGGAGGGCCTCCAAGGCTGTGGCCTCCCCTGGGGGCCCCTCGCGCTTCGGGGCCATCTCAGCTTCTGAAGTGGCAGAAGAGAAAAAAAAAATAGTTGAGATGGCAGGTGTGTGTGTGTGTGTCCTTCCAAGTGCACATATATTTTAAAGCTCTTTTTACTTCTTGGTATCCTCACTTCGACCTTTTGATCTTAGGGTTTTCTGAAAAAAAAGTTCAATTAGTTACATTTTCTTTAAAGTTACATTTTGCAGAAAGTCCTTCTATAAAAAAAATCTTCAAATTTGTTTCATTTTGGTTGAACAACATGCAATTGACCGAAGCGGTGAACATGTATCAGTATCAATGTGGGCAGTGTGTATGTGTTCCCTCTGCATAGGATGTTAATAAGGGAGATTTAGTAACAGCAACACCAGGTGCACAGGAAGAAAAGAGGAAACAATGAGCCAAAAAAACTGCTCATAGGCTTGTATTATATCTCCAGGATCTGGCTTCTACTTTTTAATTTCCCTAAGATGAACTTGCTGCAGCATTGACTCTCTGTCTTCGTCTTTGAACTCTAAAACCAGGATGACAACAGAATAAAAGTGGGGATTTGATAAGAAAAAAACAGGGAGTGTTTCTTTCCCCTCCTCCTCCTCTCATTTCTTTGTGTCTATTTGTGTGGGTTGACTTGCTGGCACTGACATGACATGTCCTCCCTCCCCTCAGTCCCTAAACCTGCACCCCCTCCCTCCTCTTCTACAGTACTTTTTTTCCCCTCCCCCCCATTTCTCTTCACCCTCCTTCCCCTTCCCTTGACCCTCCAGGGCAATGTTCTGCTTTGCCAGCAAAAAGCTTAGAAGCGCCCTAAATCCCCATACAGGAGGCAAACATCCATACTTGCTCACACATATCATATTGATCTAGAACCACTGCTGAATTTAAAAGAGCCCTCCACTCTATTTAAAACTGGAGATGTAGGGTTTGAAAGAAGGGCCACTGAGGGCCACTGAAGACTCCATGAATACAAGCAATTACAGTGTGGTGATTTGATTCTAAAGTTTCTAGACCCCCCGTGGTGATAAACAAAGAGGGATAAATTGTCTCTCTGTACTTTAGGTCACAGCATACCCGGCTAGGATGCAGTTGAGATGGAATAGCTAGCATCCATAGAAATTTCTCCCGTATCCATTTATAATCCTTCTTAGTTAACACATCACAAATGTCTCAACCCAAGCATGTAGTAGAAATCATATCTTGTAAATGAGCCAAAATCCTCAATGTTATTCCGATATAGTGCTTATCATGCTATGACGTAACATTTTTTAGATTATAATGAAAAGATGAATACTATTTTATTAATAACGTGACAAGTTTATATATCGTAACAGCGTAAATATATCTTGTTATAACCTGAAAATATCACATTATAATGTTAAAAAACCTTTTGCATTAACAATAAACTTGTTTTATGTCATAGCATGAAACTGAATAGTTTTGCTGCCGTATTCGAGAGAATTGGGGGTCTAAAGGAGGATGCTTTTTAGGTTGCATTAGTGGAAATGTGATATCCAGAATCTTTTTGTGCTTGACCGATACGAGGGAGCAAAGTGAGGGTTTAACTTTATTTAAGTACAACACTGGAGTTACCATTTAATGTAAACCGGCAAATGAAATCAAAAGTAAAGTTTAAGAAATATGATTTAAGAAAAACATGAGAAAACGAATATCATGGAAGAGATTAACTTTAACTGCATGCTAATTGCCTTTTGTACATCGAAACATGAATGTCAAGTATCGCAAACATCGTATATGTATTTGCTTGCCTCTATTTTGTAACATGCATCAGATTAAACAGTTTATACAGAGGGAAGGAAAATGGCTGCTAAGGCATGACCACTAACATGTGGAGCCACAACACAAATGGAAGGAGAGGATCTCCCGTACAAAAACCTGGTTATATACTATAACCTCATGACAGAGCCTCTGTGTTTACCTCTCGGCTCAGGAAGCATTAAATAAACAAACCACTTGCCAGACGTGCCAACCCCGGCCCGTTTGTTTTTGCTTTTCCACTAGGGGTAGTTCCGGCTCAGGGCTACTTTTTCACCGGTTTTCTGGCCCTCCAAAATCACGATTCTTACCGGGCCAACAACCGGGCTGAATATGCTAAACTAGTGACGTAAACACTCGACTGCTGAATGGTCAGAGAGAATATCGCTGGCAAGGGGGCTACAACTACAACAAAATGAACATATTTTACCGTGATTTAATTTTAATACGCGTTTCAAAATGATGCCGAAGTAACAACATACTGATACCGGTTAGTAAAAACCATGAATTAATGCTTTGACAAGTCTGCAGACGGCAGGCGAAAAACCTTTTAAAATGCGTGTTTTCTGAATGGAGATCGGCTAAGCTAACGTTGTATATGCTCCGACCGTCCACACTCACAACAACGGCCTACAGACATAAATAAACCAGCGACTGTATTCGCCATGACACAGGCAGTCTGTGGTTTGTACTTGTTTAACTTTTGTCTAGTTTCTGAACAGATATGAGGAGCTGTGAGCTCTGAGTGCTAACAGCTAACGGCTGATGTTGGTTTTGTGTTTCGCATTGAAGATGACGTCACGGCTCCGCCTACACTGAGTTACTATAGTTACTGCCCCAGCTACTAAACTGTAATGGAAACGCAGCATAAAGTGAGCCTGGCCTACCAAGGCCCAACTATACCGTACTAAGCCGTGCGAGGACCTGCAGTGGAAATGCGCCATTACATTCCTCTGTTGTGTTATGAAAGATATCTGGGCCAAACAGCAGAAATGGATCTATGTCAAACAAAACTGAAGACTTTTGCTGTTCACACTGCAATTGCTTTGTTTCCCTTGTTTTAGTTGGTTACTTTTTGGGAGTTTCTTCTCTTATTTTCCACCCAAAATGCCTCTTCTGCTTAAAGCTGAATCGCTCTTGGTTGAACGCTCGAGTATTAAATTGCGTCTGCAAAACAGCGTGTTGGAAACAATAAATGTGGCAAAGCCAAAACAAAGACTCGCCTTTATTTCTCCCCCTTATCAGGTTCCCGGGGCATTCCTCTGCTAAAATCTCCTATAACACACACACACACACACATATATATGCATGGATACACACACACATGAAAAAATGCTTTCACTTCCACCTCATAAGACTCACTTACATTCTAATGCCTCATGGTCAAATGATTATAGAGGCCCAGTGAGGGTGCTTCTGTGCTGCAACGGAGAGCGAGAGTCATGTGTGGGGGTGTTTGTGCACTTATGTGTGTGTGTACTGCCAGAGAACAGTGAGAGGAGTCATTGATTCAGGGGAGAGAATGAACCTGGAGACCTGGCGAGAGAGACGGGCTAACCAGAGCCAGATGGTCAGATAGCGAACATTAAGGCCGCTGAGCACGCCTTAAAGATCTCTGCAGCCACAAAAGAGAACAAAGATCAGAAACACAGCCTACATGTGCATGTAAGTGACGGTAGAGTGTGTGAAAAAGGAGTGGATGCACCAGTTAAAAAGGCTTTCATTGTCCAATTGTGGGTCGATATTTCTGCGGATATGGCATTCATTGCGCTTGCATATCAATTTGCTACATGGCAGTGTGTGTGTGTGTGTGTGTGTGTGTGTGTGTGTGTGTGTGTGTGTGGTGTTTATCTTACCTAGTCGAAGCTCACATAGGCGGAGCTGGGGATCTAGGGGAGGGTGGAGTCGCCTCTTCTTTCTCCAGCAACGAGCAGGGTAGGTATACATCTGTCCTGCTGCCTGGCCTGGACACACACACACCAACACACACATACATTAATTAATATATAAAGACACACACACATGCAGAGAGACAGGCGCACAGGAAGAGTCTTTACAACCATTGGCAGGCCTACAATTTTAACAAAACTTTCATTGAGACCCCGTCATACACACACATACATTACACACACACACACACACACCACACACACACACACACACACACACACACACACACACACACACACACACACACACACACACACACACACACACACACACCACACACACACACACACACAACACACACACACACACACACACCACACACACACCACACACACACACACACACACACACACACACCACGACTAGTGTTGTTTTCGTGATATTTAATATGTCCCGCTTTCAGTGCTCGGGCTAATGGTCCACATATTTAGAAGAATCTCTTAAACAGACATATCAGTGTAGAGGATGCTTACATTTAGTTTTACGCTAATAACCAATGGAAATCACTTTTTCAGCAAAGCAGACTTCTTGTGCTTGATTTAAATATGTTGGTATTTCTGTGTCAAATCATATTCTACCATTAGTCAGTAGAAGTGATTTAAGCTTCTTTATTTTCTGTCAGCATGAGCAGAAAAAAAAGAAGAGGGAGGGGGAGGGATAAACCCAGAATAAATGCATATAATGCGAGTTAGGTCTGCCACAAAGTATAGGGTGTGGCCTGAAGGGCTTTGCATATGAGATGGAGAACAGGCTATTTGTATCCAGCTCTCGGTAAAGGGCAGATTGTTGCCTTTGGTTGAGCAGGCAGCCCAGATGTATAATCTGACAGCATGTCTCAGGATAAAGCAGCAAGTAGTAACTCATGTAATATACAAAAGAGGGGTTGATTTGCCTTTTTATTGAGGTTAGACATCATATCAGATAAATTAAATCCTTTCAATCCATCTATATTTATGCGTATTTGCCTTTCCTGCTGAGAGTCTGATGAGAAGATTTATACCACTCTTTGTCATTCAATGAACACCCAGCGGCCAGTTAGCCTAGCTTAGCATAAAGACTGGGGGAAACTCTGTTTATAAATTAGATATTAGAAAGGATTTGTACTTGTTTGCCTGGTGGCCAAAGTTGAATGACTCCAGAAAATCACTCAAAATAGTTTGACACATGGATTAAACAAGAATATGTTTAAGCTAGTTGTTTCCCATTGTTTTCGTTCTCTATGCTAAGATAAGCTTACTAGCTGTCTATACATAGTTAGCGTACAGATATGAGAGCAGTATCTATTTCCTCATCAAACACTCTGGAAGAAAGTGACAAGCATAGTACCCCAAATGTCAAACTGTTGTTTATATATTTGGAGCTACAGTGTATCAGTAGCATCATTTGTTCAGTTTAGATGGCGTTTCGCACCTGGCTGGCGCTGGCACTTTTCCATCCAGATGTAGCAGTTGTTTTGCGCCACACCAGTCTGGGAGTCCAGGAAGGGCATGCGCACGCTGCGTTCAGCGCAGAGACGGGCATTGTAACTGCGACAGTGTTCGATAGCCTCCCTATAGAACTGGTCACCAAGCCTGAACACAGACAAACAGACAAAAGGAGAACGTGGAAGGTTATCAGTCAGATTGAAACACAAACAGGCTTTTATTCATTTACTTCTACATTAACTGCCCCATTCTTTTAACATTGGACTCAAGTTACCCACAGGTAACATTATAGTCCTATGTCTGCCATGGATTTAAGCTATTTGCATCACACAGCTTCGATTTCTGCTTTCTATAAACTGAGTCATCACTGCTCTTAAAGTCCTATCACCTAAATGCTAACGTTTTTTGGATGTTAAATGGTAATAAAATGTGCTGGAAGGCTGATGATTTCTTAGTTCCTGTAAATCAAGGGCCTGTTCTTTCCAGCTTAACTTTAGCTAAATACAACGCGCCCATACCTCACTTCGTATTTTGGCTCAGTTTGTTGTGTAAAGTCTGGATTTGCTGCAGAAATCAGACGAAGCATGAAGCTGAAAAGGAACATTTACGAGAGCTGGCTGGATAGGAATAAAAAGAAATGTTTCATCCTATCAAATTGATGGATAAGTGAGTGTGAGATCGAATTCCACACAGCAGATGGGCTACACACACACACGAGGGCATAAATCAGGATTAGAGCCATCAATAACCTCCACTGTCTAGAGGGAAGATTTCTGCAGCTAAGATCATTAGCGACAGACAGGGAAATAATAAGATTAGCTCACATTTGCTAAAAATTAAATATCAACCTTGAGAGACTAATTCTTCATATAATTACAGAGCTAAAATTCTGAGAGGAAGATAGAGGAAAGATAGTTTTGCATGTCCTAGCTCCAGATTTTTTTTTAAAAGTCAACCATCTTTTGGCACAGTTTACTGTTTAGTTTTCCAAATGAGACATAAAATACCATTTGCAGTTAATATCTCCTAAGTATGGTTTAAAGACGTCATTCTCTATAAGGGACTATGAGTTCTGAAAAGTTGAAGAAAAGAAGAAGAATGGCACTAGTTTCTCTGTCGGGGTTTACCCGAACCAGAAGGATCTTGCCTGTCTTTCTATTTCTGTGCATCCATCTATCTGCCTGCCAGTCACCCTGTCTGTCTGACTGTCTGTCTGACTGGCCGAGCATAGATATGTAAAGAATTCCAAGCTGGACAAAGACCAGAGGTCTGGTCGAAGTGACTCTCACAAAGATGTGCAGTGTTTGGAGGTGGAGGGGGCGGAGGGTGCGTGGAGAAGGATAGGGGAGGAAGGGAGGGAGGGAGAAGGGTGAGGGGTTGGAGTGAGCAGCAGCAGGGAGAGCACCAGGTAAAATGGAGAAACAGGGAGCACTTAGATTAGAAGACAGGTATGGAGAAGGGGGCTAACATGTGGTGGAAAAGAGGAAATTCAAAAGGCAACAAAAGTAGGATATAGAGCGCAAAACAAATGTATTCTATCTCTAAAGGGAGAACACTGATTTATTGAACGGACTCCTAAGTGAAATCATGACTTCCTTATTAGTGGCAATAAAAGACATGTTTGCTTTAACTAATCATCAACAACACCATCAGCGTCTTGATTGGTTCCACATAAACTTCCCTTAACAATGCAATTCTGTTTGCCTCTAAGTGGCAAAGTCCCTTTCACAATAAAAGCCCATGACATATACATTACATCCCTGCCTACCAGAGAGCATTCCTCATTCACGACTTGAAAACACTAGAGGGGGAAAGGTTTAAAATAAAAATCAGTTTCCACTTCGAATATTTATTTACTTATATTAAGCTAAACCATTTTGACCAAGTGTGGCTCTGTTTCAATAAGGGTTAATGGTTCAAACTTCAATCAGAGTCTCGAAGAAAATATGTTTCAAAACGTAATTGAGAATGTGATTTAGTTGTATGGGACTATCATTTTGTAGGAGACAGCGTTGAAGAAACATATATAGAGCTAACAATTTATATTCTAATTTAACATGCTCCTTAGTGAAATCCTGATTTCATTTTATCTAAACAAATTAACAATTGAACAGATGATAATGGCTCTAAAATATGCTGATAAGTGATCACATGTGACTGACAAAAATCTGGTCCAGCTATTGGGATATTCAGCCAGTTGAGAATCCAGGAAACCACTGCTACTGGATGAGAAAGATTCAGCCATGCAACCTCTCCTAAAATCCCCAAATTGTTGTTTTTACATGCAGCACAGCAAAAAGGAAAACCTGTATAGAGGCTTTGTGTTCACCTTCAGTGCCACAGTTTATGTATAACGTCTGGACTTGAACACATGTGGCGTCTGATGGCTGTGGTTTGTGTCAGGAGACTTACAGAAACGAGGAAGGCAGCTGTTTTTTTTGGGCGACACATGTTTTTACTGTATGACCAAGCGGCAGGCGTAGCGATCAAGTCAAATCCAAATGTCCAGAAGAGACTTCCTGTCACATAACTCACATTCCCAGAGGTGGAGCGTTATCTCTGCTTTCACTATTTGTTTCCTGAGCTGAAGTGTGTGTGTGTGCGTGAGTTGACCTACAGGCATCTGTCTTCCCAACTTTTCTTCCTCACTCTTCCTCCCTGTGTCATCCCACATATATTTCTGTCCCATTTCCAGCTACAAAGCGTCTGTGTAACGTCCCCGGGCGGCTTCATAAACTCTTACATAAGCAAGCGTTCGTGTCTGCTGACTCTGCTCCTTTGACTACATTTGTCTGAGAGGTGTGTTTATGTGTTGGGCTAAGTGAGCTCTGCCTTTCCCAACCCGCGGACCAGATTGAACCATCAGAGATTGTACTGTCCTCCTGTTTGTACCCATTAGTCCACTGTATGGCTGATCCGAGTGATGGAGCTTATGTAAGTGGAGGTTTGCATGTCGTGGAACACATTCCTCTTGATCGACAGTTTCCTGGATACTGATGGAATCTGCAGTTACTGTGTGTGTGTGTGTTTATACCACTGTGATTGTCTCAATTGCTCCCATACTAGCACAGAGGAGTGCTTTGTTTGTGACAGTCTTTCAATGTTTCTAGGTCAAAGCTCATGGACATTATACATATTCAAACTTACATTTAATCCTTATATAGCTCTATTAATCAGACAGCACAGCATATTCTCTTTCTTATTGCTGAATACCATCATGTATTAGTAAAACTCATCAGTAGCATATTAAATCTCTGACATACCTTTGTTTTTCCTTCCTATTTTCCACAACAGACTGTATAAAACTTGACGTAGCCTACAAAACAAAACCAATGCATAAAACCCTTGAATTTAAAGCTAACAACAACAACAACAACAGTAGTGCAGTTTACAGTCAAATACACAATTAAGCAGGGTATAGGACAGGGGTGGAGAACCTCCGGCTCCCGGGCCGTATACGGCCCGCGAGACAATTTGATACGGCCCTCGAGGTAACTCACGCAAAAAAGAAAAAAAATTAAGAAATCTAGACCGCAAAATAATTAAACAAGCGAGTGCCTGTTTTTCCTGGCCACGGTCAGGGTCCTTGAACACAACACGAGCCTAACGTGTCATCACGTGGTATATGTCTCATCCGACAGGGGTTTAGAGCTGCCGGAGAGCACCAGGACGTCGCTCCGGGCCGGGACATCACAAATGTCAGTACCCATAAGGAGCCGTACACATGCCGCAGTTTTTTGCGTGGCTGTGTCTTTAGTTGTAAGCCCAGTGGCGATCTGTCATACTGATCATACAGTCAATAACTTTGTTGTTATTAGCATCTGGTTAGCTAGCTATGCTAATGAATATAAGAAGCTTTTTCTCCAACCAGTGAGGTAAAGGCACATCTTTATATGATCATTATAGTTATAAAAAAAATAAGAGAATAAAGTAAACAGGTATAAAATACTATATGACAGTAAAAAAAAGTTGTTATTAATAAATAAGAATACAGTTTGAAAGGAGAGTGATTTGTAAGATATCCATAAAGAAAAATAAAATCTGTTTACAGTTCTGCTTCATATGGGTGTTGAGAGATGTATCCATAGATCTCTTAATGTTGCTCTCAAAGTGCACCAGATAATTGATGCTTTTAACTTCAACATTTAAAAAAAAAAATCTTCCCGGGGGTACATGCCCCCCGGACCCCCCTAGAGGAGGTTACACAATCGTGCACGCGCGAGTCATGGTAAAATATCTGGATTAAGAGGTTGCTTTTTCTTTGCACAGCATGAAAGAAAGGCCAAATGAATGGGCTGTGATTTTAGTATTTTTAAGCAGACGTCAATAATTTGTACGGGCCTCGGAGGATGTTGAAAAAATTGAAATGGCCCTTGAGAGGAAAAAGGTTCCCCACCCCTGGTATAGGATGTGCCTACCTTGTTGATTGATTGATTTATTGACTATATTACCAATCAATCAAGATAGAGGCTTAACGATGCATATCCCTTCCTGGCCCCATTGTCTTGACTAAATATGGTAATTTCGTGCTCCAAAAAAACAAAATGGCGAGGGCCAAAATGCCAAACTGGAGGCTTCAAAAATAGGCGTAGTGTCTTCATCCACTTCTTAAATACAGTCTATAGTTTTGACAAGTTCTGAAGTGACTGATCTGATGTGACACATTTTAGTCACGGCTGTAAAATAGTGATACCATTTTAGGCCTGAAACGATTAAATGAACAACATTTCAACGGCAACAACTTTCGGAAAAATTATTCAAACCAAAAATGCCAAACATTCCCCGATTGCTGCTACTACACTGTGAGTTTTGTTGTCTTTAATCTACCATTTATGATCGTATACAAACTATTTGTGTGGTTTTAGACTGTTAAACAATCCATTTTAACAAATGAAATTGATCATAATAGAAATGTTTCCCTATGTTTTGAAATTTTTCAAACCATAAAACCCTTCTGATTCATTAAAGATGGAACAATGCTGTTGTTTTTCTTTATTGGGTTAGAGCAAAATAACAAAACACTCATTTTGCTCGAGGCAGGAGGTGTTTTGTCAGTCTCGTCTCAGTTTACTATCACACCTTTGTCAATCATTTTAATGGGCTCTCTGCTTTGAAGCCGCATCTCGGATCTCGCTGATGGCTGAGGTTAACGCATCCACCAGAGACAGACAGAGGCGACATATACAGAATTGTAAGATCAAGAACATATTTTATTCATTTGTATTAATTATAACGAGAAATACAATTGAATGTCTTCGACTATTAGATGTTTATAGCGAAAACTGGAACATTAAAGTAAAATACTCACATCAGTCTCTGCATGGTGATCGGCTTAAGGTTTTACACTGGATTTCACTCGAAAAGATGAAACCCCTGATTAGATGTACAGGGCTGACATTGCTTTTAGTTAGAGAGTGTGTATGTGTGTGTGTGTGTGTGTGTGTGTGTGTGTGTGTGTGTGTGTGTGTGTGTGTGTGTGTGTGTGTTATATTGATTACATGAGAGAAGTACTTAAGACTTGTTCAATGTAGGTACCGTTAAATAGACATTCATAACACTAGTTCTTTAATTAATTGAGAAAAAAACAGTTTAAGCCTCTCTCTCTGACATACATAAACCCAAATTAAAATGTCATTGCATTTTATAACATTCAGTTTAATATACTTTACTGTCTTCAATGTCTACTAATTAGTGATGCACGATAATTATCGGCCCGATAATTATCGGTCCGATATTAGGAATTATGACGTCATCCCGATAAACCCGATAAAAGTATTAATAGTCCCGATAATATACAATATATTTTTTGGGTAAAAAAAAGAAAAAATACTGCGGTGTGGGTGGATTGGGATGAGGGGCGCTTGTTTTTCTCTCGGCTCCTCCCGTTTTGCCAGTACTGTGGTATTAGTGGTTTAGGAAGAGGGGAGTTTTTCACAAATCCAGCGCTCCCTAACTCATGCCTGGCTGTGACGTAAATGGTGTGCGGCCGTGAAGCCAGGACAGTAAACAAACATGTCGTCGGTAGTATGGGACTATTTCAAAGTTTCAGAGTTAGATAGTTTGCTTGCTATTTGTATTAACAAATGCAATGCAGAAGTTCCACGAGGAGGGAAAAAGGCAACGAGCTATAATACTGCCAACCTGATTAGTCACCTGAAACATCGCCATCGCTACGATGGTGTGTTAAAAGCGTACGAAGACGCCTGCGCTGCTAAACTAGCGGCGAATCCAAAGCCAGCTGCAAAGGCACCGGGGCTTTTACCTATCGACGAGGCTTTTGAAAAAGCAAAGAAGTTTGCAAGAGACGACCCCAGGGTTAGTTTTGTTCATAGTAGTAATGCTCATGTCATTTGCTCACTACTAGTCTTTTTTTTACCACCAGGTGTGCAAAAACTACAGGTACATTTCATATATATATACATATATATTGTATTATTATCGGTTATCGGTATCGGTCTTGAGAAGCAGGAAGTTATTGGTATCGGTTTCAAAAAAACAATATCGTGCATCCCTACTACTAATACTTCACAAACTCTGGTGGACTTCAAAAAGAGGCCTGGTATGTAGCTCTGGCCTATTCCAACCTTTAAAACCAAAACAGGCTGTTTTATTAAATTGTGTTTTTGCACTACTTGCAGGTAACTACTTTAATGCATGTGATAATGTACAAAATATACGGTGCCTTTGACATAGAGCCATTGATATATACAGAACAAAACATCCCACTGATGAGCTGACCTATATGACTTGATATGTACAACATTTCTCATCATAAGCTGTATATATATATATCTTTTGCATGACCTCATTCAGCTCACTGAGTCGGACACAAACATCAGACAGATCTTTCTCATAACACACATAACAGTGTCTTAGAGGAAGACTTTAAACACAGCTCCTAATGTCAGGGAATGGTGGGGGTTTATCAAAGATAAGATAGGCTACAATATAGTAGGCAGAAAGGAAATCCACTTTTGGATAGGTAAGAGGCCCCAAAGTGCAGGGTAAAAGCATGTGGGCACTGACAGGCGTCTTTGTGGCACTTTGTAGGCCGAGCAGCAGGGCAAAGCAGTGAGGAGGGGGCGAGGAAGAGGAGGAGGAGGAGGAGCCAAGGAGGCTGAAGTGGAGGGAAGAGGAGGGGTCATATATGTCCCCGGGCACACGTGTTCCCTTTCAAACCCTGTCACACTCATTTTCTCTCTAACACGCGGATGTGTGTACGCACGGGCGCACTCCCACACACACAAACACATATACACACACACACTTGCCCGTGCACAAACAGACATACAAAGGGGAATGAAAGGGAAAGGTGCAGTGTGCAGAGGGGGGGGGGAGCAGAGCGGAAAAGGGTGTTGCAAAGGGGAAACCCTGATTCAGATTTTCTATGTGGAGAAAAAGATACATTTATATCTAATTTCTCCTCCTAGAAAACACCCATACCAAAAAAATCCATAAAGAGAGGGAACATGTGCCTGAACCATATTCAGGGAAGAAAAAATCAATCAATCACTGCATGGAGCTTTGTATAAAGAAAAAAGAAAAAAGAAGGGTTTCTAGATTTAATTCCCTATGCCTGGAAATCATTCCCGGACATTCCCATTCCCGGGCTTGCATAGACAAAGGCCAGAGTTCGCTGAGGGTGTAGTATAAATGTATGCAGTAAATGCAGCCAGACAGACGACCCAGCCGCCCCCCCCCTCAAATCCTCCATCACTCACTCACAGTCCCTCTCACGCAAATTGGGGGGAAGGGTGGCCTGCAATACAAGCGCCAACGCATGCAACAAACACACATAATAAAAACACAACCTTACACGCTAACCCCCCCCCGCCCACACACCACCTCCTTTACATTTCCCCAGCCAAAGCAACCGTCCACCTGAGCGCAACACTAATCCCAACCAATGTTATAAAAAGAGGGTAAAAGGACACAAGACATCCATAAAGACACTTTTTTTCCCTATGAATTATATCACTCCTTTCAATATTTCATGTCATCTCTTCATGACGTCCCATCCAACACGGCCACCCAGCCAGGGAGAGGTCATTATAAAATACATGTTTAAATAAATCAAGCTAACTGCTTAACATGCCAGACGTATTGACTGCAAGCTCATGATGGTTCTTATTCATCTTTCATAGCAGGCAAGGACATTATCACGTCCTTAATATTGACTGCAAATGATTTGCCATTCACTTCCTGGGGAATGATGAGAAGGTGGGCACATTGTTTCTGACAGACAGGGGGCTCAAGCAACTGCCTGAAAACTACACCACAACTATATTTCCCAGGGTCATAACTCACATGTTAATTGATATTATCTTTTCCACTCCTGCTTGACACTTTTTTTCTTCTTCTTCTATGGTATAGTCTTAAATGTTGCCTCAAACCTAAACATTGTTTGCCCTTAAGCAGTTTTTGGAGGGGTGGTGGTGGTGGTGGGGGGTTTGTCTAAGAAGGTACTGTCTGCTATACGAAGGGCAGATGGGGTTTCCCTTCCTCCATCCGTCTGTCTGTCTTTACATGTACCTCTCAACAGATGGACCCAGGAGAATACTGGGACACTCCTAATCTGCTGTTCTGCATGCACAACTGCAGACACACACAACTGCAGACACACACAACACCCATATACCTTCATACACAACTCTAATCTGTTTCAGTAGAACACAGCAGATTAAAGCATTTTATCCCCAAGTGCTGGTACAGTAGGATCCTTTCTGTAATGAATGGTTGTCAACAAAGAGATCTTCAAAACAAGAGCATATCTGTACTTGACAAACATTCCATGCTCCTTTCCTCTTCCTCTGAATACTGAAAATGTTATTCGGCACATTTATGGTTAGGGGGAAAAAAGACTGATGGTTAAAAAGATTTCACCATTACAAAATGGCCTGAAGTGAAAGCAAAGATGTGATATGTGCCACACTTATCTCCACCCTCAGGAAAAAATGACATTGGCTCTTGCACAACAGATTATGGGATAACTGTCTAACTGTCTGCACATTCCAGTGACCAGTGGTAAACATCTGCTGTCAACCAGCACTGCAGGAAGACATGCATTCAGTGATAAAGACTAGGCTGAAAGTTATAAGTGCACTTAAAGCAGGTCACATATAAAGGGGTCATCCTTATTATGGTTCAGAAATGACTACCTCATATTATATTGATAATTTACTGTGAAATAAGGTAAAACAAAAATCCCAATTTTTTAATTTATTGTATATATATTCTAAAAAATAGCATAACAATTGCTGCTTGATTCCACAAATCAGAACATTAACTAGCAGATTCTAAAGATCAGACAAAAATGGAACTTCAGGGAAAATGCACGCCCCCTAAATCTGTAATACATCCCAGCCTTCTTCTCCAAGCATGAAAGGAGGTCAATACTGTATAATAACATATTATAATCCGCGATCCCATTGTTTACATGCATGTAGCATCCGCAGCAAAAGCCCGAGCCGCGAGGCTAGCCAGAGTCGCCCTACAATGTCCGCTTTGTGACATTTAGTTGCCTTAAATTATCCATGCAAATTCTCCCATCTACCACTGACAAAGAAGCCTTCCATGCAAACTTCTGTCAACCGTGTTCGATAAACTGAATGTGCACGATGGCAACTTTCTGTCCTAGTAAAACAAGAGACAGATATAGTGCGGACATTTACGCGCGGGTTGGAGATGTTTTCTCTGCAGTTTGTGCACGAGTGCATGCTTTTATATGACACAACACAGCAAGAAGGCAACGGTACCTGCAGATAACACACGGAGACTGTCCGAGTCCGTGGCGAAAGTGTTCATTTTTTAGGCTCCTATTCAAACGCGCGTTTAACCCTGTATAGATCAATCATTACATGTAATCCAACTGTACGATGGTTGTATTTAGAAAACCCTGAATGTACTTACGATTTTAGAGGATTATGAATGGCAGTCGCCATTTTTCCTGCAGGACTGTAACGTAATATTCCAAATCTCGGTGTAGTTTGGGACCCTTGTGAAAAAAACACAACAGCCAATGCGGTCCTGGGCACTGTGTGCTCCCTACCAATACAAGTCCAGCATCAAGACGTTAGGCGTGGCCTCAGAGATATCTGTCAACATCCATGTTCCAGTCTTTAGAGTAGTTATCATATCATGAAAATAAAGGCATTTGTGTTTATTTTTAGTGAACATATCACAATTGGAAATAAGGATCAAACATTATTGAGCCATGTCATGATCTCCTCTTTAGTTGTGAGTTAGGGGTTTTGATAGCTGTGTGAAAAGTAATCCACCAGTAATCTATTTTTAATTCATTCAAAATGTCTGAGGATAAAAGGAAATGCACCTAGTCTGGTGACTACATACATTGCCTTAGTATTTTAAAATATGTTGACTGCCATCAATCAAATGACGGCATGAAATAAAACAAATCCCTTCACATTATTATTCTGATGCGTGGCTGAAACGTTTACAAAGAAAACAACCAATGTGTGCCTGCAACGTCAGGCGCTTTTGTTAGCAATCAGCCAATGAATGGCATTTAGAGGCGGGACAACATGGCCGGAACTAAATATACAGCAATTAGCCTGTTAGCTCATGTGGTCTTACAACTGTAACTTAAACTCCGTTTATTAAGAAAATAAAGACTGTTTACACTCAAAGGAAAGTGTCTTCAATAACATATTAAACCCGTCTTTACGTTTACTGTACAGCATTGCTTTAAAAGTGTCACAAAAGATGTGTAGTTGATGTTACCTTAAAATGCTAAAGATTGCCACTTGCTAACTTGGCTAACAAGTAAACATGCTACATCAACTAGCCTTACACACTCGTACACACTGAAGTTATTGAAAGAAAGCGTGTGGCGAGGAGCCTTACTGTTAGACCTAAACAGCAGGAATGAAGAAGTGGAACTGGAAAGAAGGACAGCGACCGTACAAGCGACGAGGTGGTGGACAACGCCATGGATGGTACAGGGGAAACCGGCAAAGATTAACACAGGACGAACAGTCGTAAGTGATAGTATATTGAAGCTTAGTTATGTTAAAGAATGTGATATGTGTTCAATAGGACAGGGGTTGTGACGTCAGTAAGAGACAAGGTGTGTTGCGTTCACAGGTCTGGATATAATGAGGAAGGGCCGTCAATTAGACCACCTCAGAGGAGAAATGAAAACCACCAGTCCTCGTCCTCCTCGTCTTCCTCTTCTTCCTCCCCATCTTCTTCTTCCTCCTCTAAGACCAGCAGTGCTGCACCAGGTGAGAACAACTGAACAACATCTTCCAAAATTGAAAAACAATAGCACATAATTGTATTTGTTATTGGCAGTAAGCTGTCATTTTATAAAGACTTGATCAGAAAACACACAATCCTTTATACCCTTTATTTGGACTACTTGCACCTTACTACAGAAATATCCCAGGGATACAAACATGACACCTAACCTAAACTATCTGTATTTTATCTATAATACATGTATTTTAAGTATTTCAGTATTTGTATGCAATTGTCTTGTATCTTGTTTTTTGTAACTTCTGTTCTATGTACTGTGCTGCACTGTTAAAATATAGATGATAAAAAAGTCTGTTTCTTATTTTAAGAAAAGATAATTATTCTGTTAACAACATAATCATGGATGGCTGTAACTTGAATTACAAGAACAAAAGGTATCCATGCCTAATTTCATCACCCGGTTCTTTTTCCAGAGCTTCCTGGGTTCTACTTTGACTTGGAGAAAAATCGCTACTTCCGCCTGTTGCCCGGACACAACAACTGTAACCCGCTGACCAGAGAGCAGCTGAAGGAAAAAGAAAGAGAGAAAGAAAGAAACAAGATGCTGGCGGAGGATGAAAAGTCCAGGAAAGTAAGTCCGCGGAGAGGAAATTAAGGCAATTCTTCTGAAGCTTTTAGCATTTATGAGGTTGTTTCGTGTGCTTGAAGCTTCAGTTACAATTGTTTCCCTTAATGCGTGGGTTTGATTATTGATCATGTATTATCTTCTTTATAGAAAGCACCAAGAAAAGGACTGAACACTTCACTTCTGCTGCAGAAAAGACACCTTGGCATGTTACCTGAGAACTCATATTGCAGGTATCGCATCGCACTGTTCTCAATCAATGTTGAACATCGAGCTGTTTCTTGTATCCTATCCACAGCTGTAATACATTAGAGAGAAAGAAACCAACCAAACACAGTCAAACTTGAATGATAATCAGTTCTGTATGTGCTGAGGGAGTTTTCTTTGCGGCATTGCCGAGCCACTAATCATGATGCAAATCGTTTTTGAAGAGTTGGAAAACAGTCATAGAGGAACATTCTATAACTTATTTAGGATATTGTGCTGCCTGTCAGTTCTAATTGTAAGAATTAAACTGACACATAGTTGTAACCCAAATGCAATTAGATACATTTTTTTCTTAACATTTCCATAAATACATAAAAACATGGATAAGGATTTGCAACTAAAGGTTATTTTCCTCATCGATTAATCTCCCATGTATTTTCAAGATTGATCAATTACTTATTTGATCTACAAAATGTTAGAAATTGTGAAAAACATCCATCCTAGTTTCTAAAGGTCTAAGTGTCCAAAACTCAAAGATATTCTTCTTAAACATTATACAAAGCATAAATAATCAGGTAATGATATTTGAGGGACTGAAATTGTAATTTTAGGCCAGCTTTGCATGAAAAATGTACTTAAACCATAATCGATTATCAAAGTAGTTCACGATGATTTTTCTCTTGATTGATTTATCAATGAGACAATTTATAGTCAGTTCTAACACAGGCATTGTCAGATGGTGGCGAGGAGAAGAGTTATTGATTTAGTTGAGATGATTGTCCTTTCATGTTACCGTGGTTACTGTGTGTCTCCAGGCTGGTGCATGAAGTGAAGGTCAGTGGAATGAGACGCCACCAACTAGAGATCCAGAGCACGGACAACAGCAACCCCAACACAGACAACTTCAGACTCATAGTGGTGAGAACACACACGCACACACGCACACTACACACCCAACCCAGTCTCCACCACGTCTTTTTGTCCGGTCGGGTCTTGGAAGACCGGAAGCTGTGGGGTTCATAAAAACATGTTCTTACTCAATATCAAGCCACGATTATTGTTTTTATTTTAAATCGTATAATGTCGGACTTTTTTTGCCATCCGTGAGGAAAATAAATGGGGCTCAGAGCCTCAGAATACTGAAATCTGTATATATATATTTTTTTGTATTGAGTCGGCACAATGACTTTACATTTATACAGTCAATATCTTTCCCTTTCCCCCCCTCCCCTCCCGGTCCTAGCTAGTAAAGCAAATAAATAAATAGATACATATATAGGTACAAATAAAGTAATGTAAAAGATAATATTAAAAGAAAATTAATAGATAAGGAATAAAGATGCAAAGGCTATACTGTCTTTAGTTTTCCTCCTCATCATTCGGTGGCCAGGTAGTACTCCAAAAATGGCAGGTGTCAATACCACGTCCAAGGCCTCAGCAAGGTGTTTGAAAATGCTTGTCCAGTATCCTTGTAGGCGAGGACAAGACCAAAACATATGAGTCATGTTTGCTGGTGAAGTGTGACATCTTTTACAGGTATCCGTGACATTTGGGTATATTTTGGAGAGTTTAGAGTTGGTGTAATAGATACGGTGGACAACTTTTATTTGTATAAGATTGAGCCTGGCACAGGACATATTGTTCACTCTCGCTAATGCGCCATCCCAGACATCATCATCTATTGCTTGGACTAGTTCCTCTTCCCAATCTTGTTTGATTTTACCAAGAGATGTTTCTGGGAGACGGAATTGTAAATTCTTGAAATCAAACCTTTTTCGGTTGTTAGTGTCCAGAATTGAGTCAATTATTGAATCCGGAGGGATATTGGGGAAGGAAGGGTTATTTAGTTTAACCCAGTTACGGACCTGGAAGTAGCAAAATAGATGAGTGCCTGGGAGGCAAAATGTGTCAGATAGATAGCTAAAGCTACAGAAAACAAGGTAATAAAAAAACTCGTTTGGAACAGAAACTAAAAGTGAATTACCAGCCTGCATTATTACAGACTCGCAAACTCTCACTGGCAAATCGGCAATCTTACGATTTATTACTGGATGTGGATATCGAGTACACCGTTGCACTTTATATGCTGCTGCTAATTGGCCATCTTTGTCTGCTCGCAGACTTTCCCATTGGTTGGGTTTTATTTATAAATCTCTGCTTGGGTTGGTTCCCTCCTACATTTGCACATTTGCGCTCCCAAGATTTTATTCAGATGCTGGTTCCTACAGTGAGAGCAAAACTGGGTAAAACAGCTTTGAAATATGCTGCCCCACAGCTTGGAACAATGTACAGAAGGAGCTGAAACTCTCAGATTTAATCACTATGGGGGAATTCAGGTCCATCTTAAAGGACAGAGAACACGACACCATTGGTAGATGTGAGTGCTCGTATATCCTAAAATCGTTTTAAATGTTGCCAGTTGCCATGTCTGTGTTTTATCTGTTGTAACTTCGTACATGCTGCCCTTCTTGGCCAGGTCACTCTTGGAAAAGAGATTTTAATCTCAATGAGTCTTTTACCTGGTTAAATAAAGGATATATAAATGATGTAAAGGTCCCTTACTCTGATAAGACCTAATCTCTGCCACATGAAGGCCCCATCAGTGTAAGGGGAGAGAAAGAGATGGTTGTTGCGAATGGGACTATGAATAGAGGATCCAAAAAGTCCATGAGTCTTTCTAAATTGGGACCATATTCTTAGGGTGGAAACAACAATCGGGTTATTCGAATATTGAGTTGGCCGGCTGGGTAATGTAGATGTAAGCAAAGCCAAAAGTGAGGTATTAGGACAGGATTTGGCTTCAAGCTCACACCAACTCAATGTTGCTTCCTTAGTCCATAAAATTATTTTGTGGATATTGGCTGCCCAATAGTAGTGTCTTATGTTTGGAAGCGCCAATCCTCCTGTAGATCTGTGCCTTTGTAAAATCTCTTTCCTAATTCTAGGAGTCTTCCCTTGCCATAAAAAAGTCTATTTTACGAAAAAGTGATTTGGGTAGGAAGACTGGCAGACATTGAAAGAGGTACAGGAAGTGAGGGAGAACGTTCATTTTGATACAGTTTACCCTCCCAGCAATAGTTATATGTAAATGATTCACCTTTCCAAATCAAATTTGAGCTTGTCAATTAGTGGCGGGATGTTGTTTTTGTAAAGGTCTGAGAGTTTTCCACTTATATTCACGCCTAAGTACTTAAAATTACTCCTAGACATCTTGAAGGTGATGAGTCTATTG